ACTGCAGGAGGTGTGTAAAATGAAGCAATTTTCTTTCCAATCTCTCATTTACTTGACTAATTTACTTTAATTTAATTTAATTTGCTTATGTGTTAGATCTGATCGAAACGCCTGACTGCAAGTTGAGATAAATCAGAAATGTACTCTTTTTGAATGCATTTCATAGGACCATTTGGAAAATTTATTTATTTATTTATTTCGAATTTCAGGCGTTTTGCTAGTTATCATTAGCCCCCTGGTTGACTTCAGGCTTCACAGAGAGGAGAGGGAATATCAAAGTGACAAAAAGTCGAGAGGGGGGACAGAATAATGATTCAAAGATGTAAAAGAAACAGGCAGACAGAAAGGCTCAGAAAGGGTAAGATGAGTACTGAGATTGGGGTAGAATATGACTTGCAGTAGGCCATGATAGTTTGAAGCCAGAAGTCAACTGCCGATTTATAGACATTTATTGCCATATGCGTATACGTTGCCCAGGGTGCCCCACGAGGAGGTAAGTCAAACCCACACCCCCCATTTAGAAAATAGGTATTGACTTGTGGATAGTACAGGCCCTGCCAAGACTCATAATGTGGATTTCATAAGTTAGAGCAATCTGGATGGTGGTCTCACTTGCTTCTAATCGTGTATCAATTTAGCCCAAGGATACGTGTTGAATCCTCCCAACCAATCGATCACCAACACTCATGCAGTAGAGCATTATTTTTACTTGATTACCATGAAATTTATTGTATAGTCTTGCTCCTTTTAGAGAATATTTGTACATTGCTTCAAATGGTTGAACTTCTAAATGACTTGCTAAAGTTTTTGCCATGGGCTTACTTATTGAGTATCTGTAGCATGCTTTCCTAACGCTCATAATATAGATATCATAAATTATCCTCTTAAAAGGGCGTTTCGCCATTTTCTCAGACTCTTTCATTAATTTAAATTATCCTTGAATTCAAATTCTTTTATTAGATTTGAAAAAAAAGAAGCGCCTTTTAATCACAATCGAAACTAGTACTAATTTGATTGAAATATGATTGGAAAGAAAAAAAACCGATAGGTATTTGTTTTAAATAATTGGATTAACAATGAAATTTTTCCCGACCTTTACAAAATTGCAATTGGTCTTAATTTGATATCTGTAATTATAAAAAATGAAATTAAATGCAATTTTAGCCTCTCTACCTTTAATGATTTCGTCAAATACACCTTTTCCCTAAATATTGCTTAATTTTTTTTACTCGATAAGAAAAATAAAGCTATTAAATGCTAAGAAATGAGATAGTAATATTTGCTATTTAGTAAGTATTGCTTACCCAATCATTTTACCATTTGCGTATGAAAAGTAAAATGTTTGAACCTTCAAAGTATTTATTTCTATCAAATGACAGACGTCCTGATGGTTACCATTAGCCCATTAGTTGACTTCAGGCTTCACTGAGAGAAAGAGGAACACCAAAGTGAAAAAATCGAGAGGGGGGGGGGAACAGAAGTGTTTCAAAGACAAAGGTAGAAAAACGTAAAAAAGGTGAAGTGAGTACTGTGAAAGTGATGGAGTATGATATACAGTGGGGTCATGGTAGTTTGAAGTCAGAAGTCAACTGCTTGTTAATAGACTTTTTGCAAGTCAGAAGTCAACTGCCGATCAATAGACTTTTTTGTCTTTGAAGTCAGAAGTCAACTACCGTACAGTGGGGTCATGGTAGTTTGAAGTGAGAAGTCAACTGTCAGTGGGGTCATGGTAGTTTGAAGTCAGAAGTCAACTGCTTGTTAATAGACTTTTTCCGTATGAGTTTATGTTGCCCAGGGTGCACCACGTGGAGGTAAGTCTATCGTAGTTAACTGCCAGTTAATAGACTTTTTGCCGTATGAATATAACGAAAGCCGAGTGATAGACTTTTTTGCCGTAAGAAAATACGCTGCCCAGGGTGCACCACGTGGAGGTAAGTCTATCGCACACAAACTTCCGGTTAATAGACTTTTTACCGTATGAGTATACGTTTCCCAGGGTGCACCACGTGGAGGTAAGTCTATCGCACACCCACCAGGGTGCACCACGTGGAGGTAAGTCTATCGCACACCCCTTGTAGGGTGCACCACGTGGAGGTAAGTCTATCGCACACCCCACCTTCAAAGTTAATAACTTAAATGATGATCAGCTGAAAATTAAACTAAACATTTTGTAACTGTTGCTACGTGGTTAAATGATGCTTTACTCTGCATATTAAAAGATATATTCTAATGCTACATTTTCAAATCTAAATATATCCTAGGTAAAGCTATCAACAGTTGATCCATCTCAGCAGAGCCTTCTCCTGGGTGGTTTCCATCAATCCTCCTTCCCCCAAAACAGCTCGAACACCTCGGCGGGTGTTAGCAGTATCCACCTCCCAGAGGACCCTACCGCTAGCAATTCTAGTGAACAGGGTCGCAATACAAGCAGTTCCCTTCAGAATAACTCAAACTCTTCTCTCATGACTGGAGGAAGCAGTGAACGTACACGACATCGTTTGGGTGTGAGATTTGACCTTGACAACAACGAACATAATCAACATCCTGGCCCGAATAGTCAGAGTGGATTGACTGGACCTACGGCAAGCCATGGTCGCCAACTCTCAATGCAACTGTATCGTGATCTAGCTGGAAACTTGAAAAAGGTCGGTTCCCTTTAGTTATCATGGTTATCATTAGCCCTTTAGTTGACTTCAGGCTTCACAGAGGGGAAAGAACATCAAATTGAAAAAAGTCGAGAGGGATGGGGGAACAGAAGAGTGTTTCAAAAATGTTAAAGAGACAGACACAAAGTTAGAAAAAAGGTGAGGTGAGTACTATGGAAGTAGTCGAATATGACATACAGTGGGGTGATGGTAGTTTGAAGTCAGAAGTCAACTGTCGATTAATAGACTTTTTTGCCGTGTGAGTATACGTTGCTCAGGGTGCACCACGTGGGGGTAAGTCTATCGCACAACCCATATTTATTGAAAGTAAATTTTGCATTAAAAGTAGAACTCTTTAATAAAAAGTGGCTCTTAAAAAACCCAGAACTTAGTCTAAATAGATTGCTACAAAATTCACCTAGCAATTCCGCTTATGAGAGATTATGAGATTGAGAGAATTCGATCTTTCTGTTCTCTTTAATGTGTGAAAATTTTGCTTAAAGCAAAAAATGCCGTCAAAGTAGAGAGAGAGAGAGAGAAAGGAATTCCCGGGAAAAGGGTGTGCAAAACAAACTCTCCGCGCAGAATTCAGATTTCTGATATAAACAAATTAAGGCCTCAACGGAAAATTTTTCAAAATCAAATTGAAA